GATGTTCTGGGAAAAGAGGCAATGTTGCGTAGCGGTTAAAGGTGGGGGTCTTTGAAGTTGGGGAGACTTGGGGTTGAATCCCAACTCTGCCAATCACAGTTGTGTAAGCACAGCACCCTCCAGGCTGCACTTTTTCAATGATGTAACAGAGGAGAAAAGTATCTGTTCACAGGGTGTTTGGAGGAGGAAGTGAGAAGGTACACAGAAGTGTCTAATATTGTGCATTTCACAAAACAAGCATGTGGGTGGAAACCCTCTAAATCCTGGAACCCATCAGGTCTAGTCTTAGCTGTGGAAGAACACAGGGCCCATCCGCTAAAAATGGTAATTAAAAAAAAGCAAACCTGTATGTGGGTTTTCTGAAAAAATTGGGGATGGGGAGAGGAGGAATTGGATGAAGACAGTTCAGTTGGTAAAGAATCTGCCTGTAATACAGGAGACCCGGGTTCGACCCCTGGGTTGGGAAGAACCCCCGGAGAAGGGAATGGCAACCCACTGCAGTATTCTCCCTGGAGGATTCCATGGACAGAGGAGCCTGGCAGGCTGCAGTCCACGGGGTCACAGAGAATCAGACGTGTAGACACCTGTGTGTTTCTTAGGGGCTTCTCAGGTGGTAAAGAACCTGCCTGCTGATGTAGGAGATGTAAGAGATGTAGGCTTGATCCCTGGGTCGGGAACATCCCCTGAAGGAGGAAATGGCAACCTACTCCAGTATTCTTGCCTGGAGAACCCCATGGACAGAGGAGCCTGACAAGCTACAGTCCACAGGGTCGCAGAGAGTCAGACATGACTGAAGCGGCTTAGCTTCAAAAATTACAGTCTTCCATTTATTTATTATGTTCCAGATGTGATGGGTTTATTTTATTTTAATCTCATGCAAAACCAAAGATTCCACTACTGCACAGAGACCAGTTTGTTACAAGGTCATGAAAAAGTGGTATGGGACATGCAGGACATGATGGACAACCAGAGGGGCAGGTCATCTCCTTTGGACATGCCTACACTGTCCTGAGGAGCACGTTGAAGGTAACACTGCGGAACTGACAGGTGGCATGAATGTGGAACCTCTGGGCATGCCTTCAAACACGCCTCCCCTGAGGATGGGCTCAGAACCCAGGCTTCAGTGTGGGGAGGGCCACAATTCTTTGGAAGAATAAAAAGTTCATGCTTTTGAAATTTCACAGAAGAATTTTAAGGCCCAAACACATTTCTCTTCACGTCCAGGGACAAAGCTGATGCTTTACTCCCAAACCACATTAGCTTCCAGTTCCAGTCCCAGCCCGACTTTGTGCCCTCCTGCATTGATGTTCTTTCCATCAGTTAGAGCTGACAGGGTCAGTTTCCCTCCAGGTTGAAGGGTCTGAGTGTAACCCAGTCAGGCTGGTATTATTTACTCTAGCAGAGAGAGAGGTTCTAGAGCCCAGCGTGTACTCAGCAGAGATGCCAAAGTGGATATTGTTCCTCTCACCCATCCACGTGACATTTATTAACATTTCAGTCTTGTTGCTCACCTTCTGGTAGATGGACCCTCCAAATTCGTGCTGTCGTTCATGTGAGTGTGCAGCTGGAAGTCTGCGGCCTTGTAACCCAAGGCAAAATTATTCTGTTACAGTTTGGAATCAGCTGTGTCAGAACTCATCTGATAGCAAGTCAACCTTCAAAGGCAAGCACAGCCCAGCCATAGATGGTTGGTCCAGAAAAATCTATACCAACATGACTGCCTAGACTGAGACAATCCCATTTATAGGAGGCCTTCAATTTCCCACTTTTCTTTCCTGTGTTCGGTACAAATATGGTATTAAGAGTCAGTTTCAGTCCTTCAGCCAACTTACTCTCCCAAGCGATTTCTGTCCCAGGAGTATTGTCTGTGTTCCACTCTTGGGTGAAGGTCAGTCCTTAGTTACCAACCTTGTGTTTGCCTCTAGGTTGCCTGATGCTTTCCCTGTATCCCTGTAAGCATTAGCAGAAGTAGAAAATTCCACTCCACTATGTGACTTGGTTCCCAGATCTATTTTGACCATGCCAAATCCATATCCTTTGTTGAAGACCTCTTTAGCAGCCTCTCCTGGGTCACAGTAAGTGGGTTACCCCATCTCCGACCGGAGGGCCTATCCGCTCTGCCTGGGGCACCGCTGAAGGTGTTCCAGTCCAAGAATGTCGGATACCTTTCCATCTGTTTGTGTCATCTTCGATTTCTTTCAGCAGTGTCTTGTGGTTTTTCAGATTACAGTTCTTCTGCCTCCTTAGGTAGGTTTATTCCTAGGTAGTCTTTCTGGTACAATGGGATTATTTCCTGAATTTCTCTTTCTGCCCTTACATTGTTAGTGTATAGGAATGCAAATGATTTCTGTGTAACTAATTTTGTATCCTGCAGTTTTACCAAATTCATTGAGCTTTAGCAGTTTTCTGGTAGCATCTTTAGGATTTTCTATGTATAGTATCATGTCATCTGCAAGCAGTGACAGTTTTACTTCTTTTTCCAATTTGTGTTCCTTTTGTTTCTTTTTCTTCTCTGATTGCTATAGCTAGGACTTCCAAAACTATGTTGAATTTAAGTGGCAACAGTGGACATCCTTGTCTTGTTCCTAATGTTAGAGGGAATACTTTCAGCTTTTCATCATGGAGAATAATGTTATCTCTGGGTTTGTCGTATATGGGCTTTTTAATGTTGGGATAAGTCCCCTCTATGCCCACTTTCAGGAGAATTTTTATCATAAATGGGTGTTGAATTTTGTCAAAAGCTTTTTCTGCATCTATTGAGATGATTATTTGGTTTTTATTCTTCAGTTTGTTAATGTGGTATATCATCAATTGATTTGAGGATATTGAAGAATCCTTGCATCCCTGGGATAAATCCCACTTGATCATGGTGTGTGTTCCTTTTAATGTATTGTTGGATTCAATTTGCTAGTATTTTGTTGAGAATTTTTTAAAAAATATTTGTATACTTATTTATTGGCCCTGGTGGGTCTTCATTGCTGCACACAGACTTTCTCTTGTTGCATCGAGTGGGGGTTACTCTTCATCGGTGTGGGGACTTCGCGTCGTTGCAGAGCACAGGCTCCAGGCATGTGGGCTTCAGTAGTCGCAGTGTGTGCGCTCAATAGTTGCAGCTCCCGGGCTCTAGAGAGCAGGCTCCGTAGTTGTGGCACGTGGGCTTAACTGCCCCGAGGCATGTGGGATCTTCCAGGACCAGGGATCGATCTGATAGCCTTTGTGTTACAAGGCAGGTTCTTAACCACTGGACCACAGGGAAGCCCTGTTGAGGATTTTTACATTTATGTTCATCAGTGATGCTGACCTATAATTTTCTTTTTTTGTGTGGTGTGTTTGTCTGATTTTGGTATCGGGGTGATGGTGGCCTTGTGGAATGAGCTTGGGAGTGTTCCTTCCTCTGCAATTTTTTGGAAGGGTTTCAAAAGTATAGGTGGTAACTCTTCTCTAAACATTTGACAGAATTTGCCTGAGAAGCCATCTAGTATTGGACTTTTGTTTGTTGGAAGATTTTTAATCACAGTTTCAATTTCAGCACTTGTGATTTGTCTGTTCATATTTTCTATTTCTCCACGGTTCAGTCTTGGAAGGTTGTACCTTTCTAAGAATTTGTCCAGGAGAGTTCTTTGGCATTCCAGTGGTTAAGACTCCACGCTTCCACGGCAGAGTGTGCAGGTTCAGTCCCTGGTCAGGGAACTAAGATCCCACATGCCATTCGGGGGCCACACAGCCGAAACAAAACCAATAAATAAATAAGTAATCTTTTTTTTTTTTTTTAAGAATTTGTTTCTTCTCGGTTGTCTGTTTTATTGACTTACAGTTGTTAGAGTAATCTTTTATGATGCTTTATATTTCTGTGATGTCCATTGTAACTTCTCATTTTTCATTTTATTTGAGGCCTCTCCCTTTTTTTCTTGATGAGTCTGGCTAAAACTGTGTCAATTTTCTTTATCTTTGCAAAGAACCAGCTTTGAGTTTCATTGATCTTTTCTTTTGTTTTCTTGGTTTGAAACAGAGGTTTCATTTATTGCTGCTCTGACCTTATGATTTCTTCTACTAACTTTGAGTTTTGTCTGTTCTTTCTCTAGTTGCTCCAGGTGTAAGGTTAGGGTGTTTATTTGAGGTTTTTCCTGTTTCCCGAGGTACCATTGTATTGCTATAAACTTCTTTCTTAGAATTGCTTTTGCTGCATCCCATAGGTTTTGGATCATTGTGTTTTCATGGTCATCTATCTCTAGGTGTTTTTTAATTTTGTCTTTGATTCCTTTGGTGATTTAATTTTGCATATGAGATGGATATTCACTAAACTTAAACGTGGACACTGTTTCACTCATTGTGTGAGTCAAATCATTATGCAGTACACCTACATATTATGCAGCACGTCTACAGAGCTGGGCTGTACATCAGTTATATCTCAAACCGGAAGGGGAAAAATGAAACAGTTGAGGTTATGTAAATACATCGCCCACAGCGGCAATGGTCAAAAGTCTGTTTCTTTTCCTTCTACTTCCCTCACTTTCACCAGATGCTCTGTACTCTTCTGACTACAGGTCTCCCCCGAATCACTTCCGGCACCAGCCTGAACCATCTCGCCCTCCCCTCCTCCTCTGTTTCTTAATACGTGACACACGAAGCCCCTTTCTCATCGGGGAAGACACCCATCTTCAGGAGTGGGAGGGGAGAAAGCCAGACAAGCCGATACGATTTCTTTTAACGAGGAAGGAGAGGGTGACCTGGTTCACGTTCGTCCTGTTCGCCAGGAGCTGTTATTAGTAGTGATTGTCCTATTGCTGAGGGGGTCAGAGCCAGTAACCCCAGAGCGGTGTTACCAGGAGGAATGGCAGACCCTGTCTCTGCTCCTGCATCCTGCGCTCGGTTTTGCCTTGGTGGGGCATGGCCCGAGAATGAGCCCAAACAGGTGGGTGGGGATGAGGGTGCAGCCTGCCTCCGGCAGCTCTGAGTTCAGAGGTCAGTGATGCCTTTTCTTTCCTTTTCTTTCCCCCCAGTCTCATCAGACCAGATTGAGCAGCTCCACCGGAGGTTTAAGCAGCTGAGCGGAGACCAGCCCACCATCCGGTAAGACCGGCAGTTGGGTGTAGGCGTCGGGCGGGGCCGTGGTCCTTGGGGAAGTCCCCCTCCATATATCTCTTCCCTGAGTGCCAGCTGGCTCTGCCGAAGCCCCTGGGTGGCCCCATTCCCTGAGACAAACTTGTAGTTCCCTCTGCTTTGGGTCCCTTCTAGACAAGCTGTCCTCAACTGGGGGGGAGGGAATCCCACCTGGTTCTAACTGGGGTCAGAAGATTATAACTGGAGGAAAGGCAAGGGGGATGAAAACCTGGTTGTTCAGCCACTTTAGCCGGACTTCCCTGGAACCCCAGGCACACAGGGCGGGCCTGTCGAAGGCCAGGATCATGGCCAGTGCCAGGCACCCCGGGGCGAATCGGTTGCCGTGTGCCTCAGTTCAAGAGTTGGATGCCTTCACGAGGGCCTCTTGACTCTGCTTCCTCTGGCAGTTCCAGCCCCAGACAAGAGGGTGGGCGGCAGCTGTGGATTTCTATCTCAGAAAGCCACCATTTTACGTCACATTGTTTCATGTGACTCTCTTAGAAGGTGTGTGGTTTAACTTTTCGGACCGTGTGTCTCCTCCTGGGAGAGAGTGGCAGCCGTGTCATTTCCAACCAGGCTGTGAGAGGTCCTCATCAGTGAGTTGATCCGACTTGGTGAGGAAGATGCTTCAAGCTGAACTGTTTCCAACATAAAGTGAATGCTGTCCTGCCACAAACTATCTAACAGATGTAGTCTCCTAAAATAGCCATGCAGAGTCTCAAGGTTACAGACTTGGAACTTTAAACCTTTTAGTAGTCCAGGAAAGCATCTTGTTTTCTTAGTAAGTGGATTTAAAATTGACCCAACTTTTAATGGAAAACAACATGTAAATACTGTCCACTGTGTCTCATCTGTCTCAGCAAAGGCATGTTGTTAATCCAGTGCGTCATTGTCTTAAGAGCATCCGTTTCCAGAGCTCAGAGTCTGGTGGTCTCAAGGTTCTGGGGGCCATCGGTCTTGATTTGATTGCATCCAAGGCAGAAGTAAATTAAATCAGGACTGACTGTTTTTATTTTGTAATGTTTGTTTATTCATTTATGATTCCGCTGGGTCTTTGTTGCTGTGTGTGGGCCTCCTCTGGGGCCTCTGGTTGCACCAGTCGGGGACTACTGTCTGTTGCAGTGCTCGGGCTGCTCGTTGCGGTGGCTTCTCTGGTTGCAGACCTCGGGCTCTAGGCGTGCGCGCTTCAGTAGTTGAGTCTTGTGGGCTCTTGTGCTCTGGCTCAGTACTTGTGCCACACGGGCTCAGATGCCACACAGCATTTGGTATCTTCCCAGACCAAGGATCGAACCTGTGTCCCCTGCATTGGCAGGCAGGCAGATTCTTAGACCACCAGGGAAGCCTAGGACTGGCTTCTTGAATTCTACACAGGAGACAGAAAAGCGTCTGCCCGCAATGCAGGTTTGATCCCTGAGTCAGGAAGATCCCCTGGAGAAGGAAATTGCAACCCACTCCAGTACTCTTGCCTAGAAAATCCCATGGACAGAGGAGCCTGGTGGTCCATGGGGTCGCAAAGAGTCGGACAGGACTGAGCTTTCCTTTCCTTCACTCACTCAGCCCAGTGAAGAGCCCACCAGAGGATCCCCTGGCTTCCTATGGGGTCACATGCCCAAGGCTGAGCCAATCACTGTTGCCAAGGGTTGGAAATGCAAACTTTTTTTCCCAGAGCTGTGAGTGGGGCAGGTTCACATGCCAAGGGCAGGAAGAGTGTGGGGAGATTTCTCAGGGTAAGGTGGGCTTCCTTGGACCAGGGGCTGAGGAATGGATGCAGGTGAGAACGTCTCAGGTGTGGTGATACAGGTCCTCCTGGATGTTGGAACATGGAAGTGTAAAGGGCATCCTCCGTTTCTTTAAAAGTTCATGGGCACATGCGCTGTGCCAGGCAGGCAGTACCTGTGCTTGGGGGACAGGACCATCATGCAGCTCTTGATTGGGGGTGTCATGGCGGAGCCCTCTTTCTGAAGATGATTTTCCAGCATGCTGTGCCCCCAGCCTGTCACAAAGCTGCCCTGGGCTTCTAGCTGTCATGTGTCTGCGGTCCATGGGCCTTGGCTTGGCGAGAGGCCTCAGGTTCCAGTTCCACATGGTATACTTTTCAGGCTTGAGGGAAGCAGAGGCAAAAACCCAGCCTTGGGAAACAAATCATATTTGAAACATCTGTGTCTCTGGTTGGTTGACTTTGGGTTAGTTGCTGTGTTTCTCTGAGCCTGTATCCTCTGTAAAGTGAGTGTGGTCACTTGGGATTTGATGTGAGCATTAAAGAGGAGCAGACATACATGGTATGTTTCTGTTCTGAACTGGGTTCCTTGGCATTTGGCAAACGGGACTGTCATCATTCCACCATTGGTGAGGTCATGAGGATGCACCCTGAGATGCCCAAGCAGCGGCCCTTGATCCTCAGGCTGGAGTGGAGGTGGGGAGGGAAGGTGCTGTGAGCAGGAAGCCCCTCCCACTTTGAGGCTCCAGCTTTGGGGCTCAGACCGTGTGGCCCAACAACCCCTCTTGGGCTTTTCCAAGGATATACGGATGCGTTGAGCTCTACACTGCTTCCTTTTTTTTTTTTTAATTACAGTATAGTCAATTTACAATGTTGTATTAATTTCTACTGTACAGAAAGTGATTCCGTTTTACCTGTGCATACTCGTTTTTACCCATTACGGTTTATTTCAGGATATGGAATATAGTTCCCTGTGCTATACAGTAGGACCATGTTGTTTATCCATTATTTTTTGTTGAAGTATAGTTGGCATACAGTATTGCGCTAATTTCTGCCATATAGCGGTGACTCCATTATACACATGTATAGATTCTTTTTTATATTCTTTTCCATTATGGTTTATCCCAGGAGGTTGGATGTAGTTCCTTGTGCTATGTAGTGGGACCTTGTCCTTTATCCATTCTAAATGTAATAGTTTCCATCTACTCACCCCAAACTCCGACTCTATCCCTCCCCCACCCCTCTGCCCCTTGGCACCCACGAGTCTGTTCTCTGTGTCTGTGAGTCTGTGTCCGTTTTGTAGATAGGTTCATGCTTTGGATTCCACGTTTAAGTGGTATCATATGGTATTTGTCTTTCGCTTTCTGACTTCACTTACTGTGAGAATCTCTAGTTGCATCCATGTTGCTGCACATGTGGTTACTTCATTCTTTTTTATGGCTGAGTAGTATTCCATTGTGTATATGTACCCCATCTTCTTTAGCCATTCCTTTGGCAGTGGGCATTGAGTTTTCTTCTGTGTCTTGGCTATTGTAAACAGTGCTGCAATGAACATCGGGTTGCATGTATCTTTTTGAATTATGGTTTTCTCCAGACATATGTCCAGGAGTTGGGATTGCTGGATCATATAGTAGTTTTGTTTTTAGTTTAAGGAATCTCAGTGTTGTTTTCCATAGTGGCTGCACCAATTTACATTCCCAGCAACACTGTAGGAGGGTTTCCTTTTCTCCCCACCCTCTCCAGCATTTGTAGACTTTTTAATGACAACATTCTGACTGGTGTGAGGTGATACCTCATTGTAGTTTTGATTTGCATTTCTCTCATTAGTAATGCTGAGCCTCTTCTCATGTGCCTGCTGGCCATCTGTATATCTTCTTTGGAGAAATGTCTGTTTAGGCTTTCTGCCCCTTTTTAATTGGGTTGTTTCGTTGTTGTTGAATTGTATGAACTGTTTGTATATATAAGCCCTTGTCAGTCACATCATTTGCAAAATTTTCTCCTATTCCATAGATTGTCTTTTTGTTTTTATAAAATAGTTTCCTTTGCTGTACAAAAGCTTGTCAGTTTAAATATTTCCTATTTGTTTGCTTTTATTTATATTGACTTGGGAGACAAAAAAAAAGTTGATATGATTTTATGTCAGAATATTTTGCCTGTGCTCTCTTCTAGGAGTTTTATGATGTCATGTCTTATGATTATGTCTTCAAGTCATCTTTTAGTTTATTTTTGTGTAGAATGTGAGGATGTGTTCCAACTTCATTGATTTACATGCAGCTATTTAACTTTCCCAACACCACTTGCTGAAGATTGTCTTCTTCCCATTTTATATTCTTACCTCCTTTGTCAAAGATTAATTGACCATAGGTGTGTGGGTTTATTTCCAGGTTCTCTATTCCGTTCTGTTGATCCATGTGTCTGTTTTTGTGATAATACCACACTGTTTTAATTATTATATTTTTGTAGTGTAGTCTGAAGTCTGGGAGAGTTATGCCTCATGCTTTATTTTTTTTCCTTAGGATTGCTTTGGCAATTCTGTGTCTTTTATGGTTCCATGTAAATTTTTGGATTATTCTAGTTCTATGAACAATGTCATGGGTAATTTAATAGGGATCACATTAAATTTATAGATTGCTTTGAGTAGTATTGGCATTTTAACAATATTCTTCCAATTCAAGAGCATAGGATATCATTCCATTTCTTTGAATCGTCTTTAATTTCTTAATGTTTTATAATTCTCAGCCTTTTAAGTCTTTTCACCTCCCTGGTGAAGTTTATTCCTGAGGGTTTTCAGTTGTTGCTGTTGTTGTTTGTAGGGGGGTGTGTAATTTTAAAAGGTATTTTTTTACATTTTCTTTCTGATGATATTTCATTATTAGTGTAAAGAAACGCAGCTGCTTTCTGAATGTTAATCTTGTATCCTGCTACTTTGCTGAATTCATTTATCAGATCTAGTAGTTTTTTGTGGAGTCCTTAGGATTTTCTATATATATAGTATCATGTCATCTGCATATAGTGACAGTTTTGCCTCTTCCCTTCCAATCATTCTATATATAACAGTTTGCATCTGTTAACCCCAAACTCCCAATCCCTGTCTCTCCTGACCTCTCCCTTCCTCCTTGGCAACCAGGAGCCTGTGCTGTATGTCTGTGAGTCTGTTTATGTTTCATAGATAAATATATTTCACATTTTAGATTCCACATATAAGTGATATCATATGATACTTCTCTTTCTCTTTCTGACTTACTTAATGTAG